TGTTATGATGATGGAGAAGGAGTTGAAAAGGATGAACATAAGGCATTCATTTATTATCAAAAATCTGCTGATATGGGGGATTCATATGGAACATTTGATGTTGGATCTTGTTATCAGAATGGAATTGGAGTTGAAAAGGATGAACATAAGGCATTCATATATTATCAAAAATCTGCTGATATGGGGCACGTCGAAGGAACATATAATGTTGGATGTTGTTATGAAGAAGGAATCGGAGTTGAAAAAGATGATAGTAAGGCGTTCATTTATTTCCAAAAATCAGCAGATATGGGAGATGTTAGTGGAATGATAAAAGTTGGAGACTGTTATAGAAATGGAATAGGAGTAATAAGGGACATACAACGTGCTAATCATTGGTATCGTAAGGGAAGGAATATAAAAAAGATAAACATAGACGTCTTACTAGGGTGATCATCAGACTAATAAAATCAAGCCATAAGTAGCGTAATATGCACTAATTACTATTTGGAGATTTTTTATGAAAATCCGAATTTACTGCGGCTAATAGTAACTTTCGGTACAGTTTTCTTTTGAACTAATGTAATAATTGCCTGTTTAATTTTTTTAAAAAGACATATTAACTTGCTTAGAATAATTTAATGAAGGTATTTTTTCGGTTTATTCCATTTATGAGTAGCGAATTCTTTGACAAAGTAAACAAGCTTTACTCGATTGTAATAAACAATGTATCAATTAAAATTCATAAACCGAGATCATTGTCGGCAAGAGAAAGATAAAAGCTACAAATTAAAAAAAAATATGATATAAAAATTTTAAATCCTTAACTCAAAAAAGGGATCTTTGTAAGTCGTATTAAAAAATTTTTACCGTGATATTCTATAAATTCGAACTTAAAACAATGCCGCGATCTAAAAAAAAATTCAAACAACGGCAGCATTTGAAAAATGCACTTAAACAACGAAAATTTTATAAAAAAGAAAATAATGTTGCCAAAAATATTATTGAAAGTACAAGTGGCGGTGGTTATAATGTTGTTAATATTGAAAGTACAAGTGATAGTCATAATGGCGTAATTGATAATAGTATCTATAAAGATATACCAAATATATCGGATAGTAGTCATAATAGCGTAATTGAAAATACAAGTAATAGTAGCTACAACGATATATCAAATATATCGACAAGTTCACGACTGCCAAATATAGAAATAGATATTAGACAACAAAAAGTCGATAGACTTTTAGAGTATGCGATCGATTTACCAGATTCATTTCTAACAACATTTATAAATATAATCAAAAAAGTTTCACAAGAGCAATTTCGTCAACAACAATATTTAAAGACATGGGATTTATTATTAAATATGGCAATAAATATGGATGATAATGAGTTGAGTCTTGGAGTTTCCCTGATAAACCTTATGAGATATAGTAAAGGACCTAAAACGGGCAAGGTCTTCTCAAAGTATCTACAGCAAAAGGCTTATGATTTTATTGAAGAATCGTTATATCGTCCAAAAATTTGCCTTACTAAATCTAGAAAACCATCGAATCGAAAAGTTAATCGTTTAACAAAAAAAAATAAATCCTTACAAAATAGAATTAGGAAATACAAGCAAATGCATAAAAAGAAAATTTCTTTAGCCCGTTCCGCAGCACGTAAAAAGCCTACGATTACTAATAAGCAACTAAAATTAGCCATTCAAGATCGACTTATGATAAATAAAAAACAGTATAGTGCTGGAACCGTTTCAATGGCTACACAAGTTTGTGAAATTGGTGAAATGTCTTATCGATCTGCCATAACTTGCACAAAGAAAGTAATCGAGTGGTTAATAAACGAAGAACCAGATAAATGGTTTTCCGTTAGCACACTTGTTGGATGGCATAAAGATGTTTCAAATATTCATATAATCCAACAATATCAGTTAGATCCAACTAAATGTTTAACATGGACGACTGATAACACGGCATACATGTCAGGCCGTAGAAATGGTACTGTAATATTATTTAACAAAGAAGTTAACTCAAGTTCATTTCGAATTTCTTGTGGACTTCATGCAGCACACATAGTGATGACGAATTTCGAAAATGCCGCTTTTGGAAAATTAAAAGTCGAAAAAGGATTTTCGACTTAAAAACATCTGTTCAATTTACTTTACCTTATTTGGAAGTTACATAATGGTTATAGCGAAAGTAATAAGGATAATCCAATGAATATGAAGTCTTTCTATATTTTCGACCTATACTTTAAACTCTTTGGCATCTGACTAACTAATTTTCAAAAACCTTTACGACAGCGATGGTTGTATGAATTATAAGCGGCAAGACAACTGGTAGAAAGAAGAGTCTATTTAGAAAAATTCACTTTCTGGTTCTTGAACAATTTAAAGACACAAAAAAAATTTCAAAAACATATCTTGAAAAGTGGGAACTTCTTTGGCAATGGCTTATGGATCCGTATTTAAAAATACAAGTTGAATGTCTTGCAAAGTTTGAAGAAAGAATTTATGAACTGATGATGAATTTTTTTATTGGATTTGACAAAGAACCATGGGTTCTTCAACCTGATGGCAAATTATCACCACTTCTACCTGGTCGACGAGCCCATGAGATGTCTGATGCGTTTATTAAATGGATAAGAAATTTATATAGTATTAGAGACAATGTCTGCTTATTTTTTGATACAGAGTTATGGGATGCTATCGATATTTTAGATGATAAAAATTTCGGGCAATTTTTTAATAATTTAGAATTAGGCATCGATAAAGCTATAAATTCTTTAGACAATTGGATGAGTATGTGGCTTCGTCTTCCATTAAGTGTGTGCCGATTAGGTGGTAAAGATGGCTGTGAATTCGCCAAAAGCTATCTGAATATAAAGTAAAAAAACAGCGAAAGGAAGTTTCTAGCCTTAAAGAATTATATTATGCGACTCTTTTGAAATCAGACATTGAAAAACCTAATTCTAACGATTTTGGTTTGTCAAAGGCAACAGAAGATCTATTGTTTATGCAAGAGTTATTCAATTTTGCTAATTCTACTAATCCAATTTACTCTTTTCCTTTGCTATATAAATTCGTTAAGTGTCGAATTTATTATATTGTTATTCATCAACAACAGATTGAGGGTTTATTCAACAAGTATGATTTTAAATGTCATTCGAACATGAATCTTGAAACTAAAAAAGCAAAACTACGCCTTACAGGTGTAAAACAAATATCTCTATTTGATGAAGACTTAGCTGTTCAAAGAAGAAATAAAAGAAAATTTGGTGAGCAAGATATTGAAAAACAAGCAATGTTTGGTAAAATAGAAGCAGATAAACTGTTTAATCACTTGTTCGATAAATCAAGAGAATAAATTGTTAGATAAATAAAGAGAATAATTTCAAAAAGTTAATTTTCCAAAATTTCTGAAATTGTTAAAAAACCTGTAAAAAATCCTTATATAATAAATTTTATATGTGGTCGGGACTATCATTTGATTTACTGATTTTATGATCACTCTAACGTCTTATGCGAAAGCTTAGATCATGACGAATTAAAGAATGTAATAAATGACGAAAAGTATAAACTATCATAGTTTCCTTACAACGAATTTGAAAACGTAAAAGAAATTGGAAAAGGTGGATTTGCAATTGCATATTTTGCAACTTGGTATGATAAAAATGAAAATTGTAGGAAACATGTTGCACTAAAATTAATTAATAATTCAAACAAGTGTAGTCAAGAATTTGTTGATGAGGTAATATTATTTATTGATTATTTTTATTTATTTTTATCATTTAAAGTCATTGAAGTGATTCAATTATTGAATATTAAATAGTTGAAGAAGCATTGTGATATTGGATACGAAAATCCATCATTTTTAAAATGCTACGGAGTATCAAGGGATCCAGTTTCAAATGATTATATTATCTCTTAAACTGTAATGCAGGCAAATTTGCCTGCTAAAATTTTTTTTGTTGTTGTTTTTTATAATTACTTA